TGAGGGTGTTCACACAATCAAAAACAAAAGCCGTAAGATGTACGCATGCGTACAAACCAATTTTTAACTTATTATGATGTTAGTATGCACGCGTACGTCTTAAATTGTACGTTTTACGGCTTATGTTTTTGATTGTGTGAACGGTCTTACAATACAAAGAAAGATTGTGTTGGACCGATAATTCGAAGATTCCCGACCCAGCACGGAAACTCTCGAGAATAGAAAAAATTATAGGAGAGCACCCGAATTTTTCCTACCACACGGATCATAATAAATTATATACAGATTCTCATTTTTTTCTAGTCACTTACTAATTTTTGTTTAAAGTTTGAATAAAAATTAATATTTATCGAATATTACCGTGCTGCATAAGAATTTTTACTTTTACTCTTCTTAATAAATATTGAATCTATAATAAAAATTTTAAAAGGATTACTAATTTTTCTTTGAAGGTTGTCTTAATTTTTTAGGGAATTGACATTTGCGCGTGGATTGTTGTGCTGAGCACGGTAATTTTTATTGGAATTTTTTCTCCGTGTAGAAAGTAATAATATTGTACGTCGTTCGAGCATGATTAAAAAATAGTTGGAAAAGTATCGAGCATAGGTAAAAGATAGTATAAAATTTTAAAGAGACTTGTAACGTCACTGAAATATGAAACGTACAATTGTAGTGCTATCATCAGTATAACATTTCATGATTGCAACGAGACGTCACTCACAATCAAACCCAGTATCGATTTGTACTTATCATTTTTTACATTTTATCGATAGAGTTTAACAAAGAGAAAGAATTTTAAGGCCATTGATATGTTTCTTCATGTTATGTACATTCAATTAATGAATCAACAAAACTCTTTTTCACGTGTTGAAATTGTTTTTAAATTTACACTCGAATAATCATTATCATTTTAATTACTAACAGATGAATAAACTTTGGAATACAAATAAACTTTTTTATATTTTTTATTACTACAAATTTTAAATTTAGAAGTGTTTTATTTCAATGCACTTCATGCGTTTTGATAAAATATTATCTATTTGATTAACATTGTAGTCACTTTTTAAATACGTTCAAGTGCGTTGAAATAATTCACTAATGTCAGATTTGCAGTGAATTTTATAATTTTGGCGGGTGTATTATATGAGTACACAGAAAACATTTTTACGGTAATTTACAGAGAATTTTACCAACCACAATACGATTTTTTTCTACCCTTTAGTAATTTTTACTGAACAGAAAAGTACTATTTTCTATAGAGAAAAAAAATTTATAAATTTTTTAGTTATTTTTACTAAAAAAAACCTATTAATTTTCAATTGTTTTACTAATAAATTTTACTGTAAATTGACTAGTAAAAATTACTGTAAAATTTTTTCCGTTCAGATTATTATGAACAGTTATATTTCCGACAGATTGTTGTGAATTGATTGTGAATGCATTGAACTCGTGTATCGTGTCTATACATTTCTTTCATATTTCAACTTTATTACTATAATTTTTTTATTTTATAATTTTCATTTTAAACATACATCTTATTTAGCTGCTCCAATAACTTTATGTTAATTTATTTAATTAATAGATTAAATTTTCAATCGTTATTATCAAATATATTTTTATTTTATTTAATATATCATTGATTTATTGAAACTCAGTTGTTCTATTCTCTATAATGACCTTTCTAATTTTTTCTATTGAAACTTTCACATTAATTCAGAGGGTTTTTGTGAGCCTAGTGAATAATGAATGACAATATTTTCATTGAAGTCCATTCGATTTATCAAAAAAAATATTACTTATTTATAGAAAAAATATTTGAATAATTAATAAAATAATTCTCAACTATTTATGTAATTCAAATACTCAAAGATGACGGTAAAAAGGGTAAATTGTACCCTTTCTTTTTCCACCCCCGCCCCCAGTAGACAAGCATGAATTCGCAAGAATAGTCATTTTTATTTAACTCACTTTCACCAATCTATTTTTCTCGCTTCAAAACCCACACGGTATTCTTGTGTAGAATCACCCTTTCACCCTGTGTATGATGGCACTCCCTCCTCCCTTCTTTTACTTCATCGGTTTCCATGATGCTGGCAATCCCACCCTATCAGCCCTCGTCAAGTATTTTAACCAATCGAAAAATTGGACTTGAACCCAACAGAGTATCCATAATTTTGGAAACCCGAACATACGGGTATATTTACGAATATATTTTCAAAATCCATCAAACGTCTGTCTAGCATAATATAAATACAGATGCATTCAACTCCTATTGCATATACATAATAGTAGACATAATACGAGTTGACTAGAGGAAGAGAAAGTAGAAAGCCATGTGTTCTTGCCAATACACCTTCCTTCCTTCCTTCACCACTATTATCTAACCCCCTAACATGTCGCTCATGATTGCATTCAATTCTAAGAATTATTTTTACTGACTGTTGCAATTTTTATTAAGAAACCACAAAATTCACTTCAATCAATTATTTATCCCTATTTTATTTCTATTTATTATTAAATTATCAATAAAAAGTTTTCTCGCTCAAAAAATCTGATAAAAGTTTGTGAAAGACCCACCAAAGTGTTAAATAATTCCAAGTAATAATAAAAAAAAAATCTTGAAAAGACTTTAGGTGAAAGAAAATAATTTATTCATAAATCTAGAGTCATAAATCATTTGAGGGAAATTCTGATAGATATTAATGTATACATTTGATGTTTGAGTTGATCGACAGTTGTACGGAAATGCAACAAAACTTATAATCCCTACGTGAAAAGTGGGTAGGGGGGAATTGGGACTTTAAGCATGGTGGTAGGGACCAAAGCAGTGTGACAGATCAGCATTAGACCGTGAGGAGCCAGTAAGCATAGTGGTGAATTTGAGAAAAGATCAAACGGTGAGGAGAGTGAACATTAAACAGAAGTCTGTGTTAGTGATCTAAAAGAAAAAAGACGAAAGAAAAGAAAAAAAAGGGAACAAAATCAGTAGCACGTGCAGCCCTTCAACCTATCACCTCCTCACGACCCTAATTTTCGTATTCCTACCCTCAGGTTTCAGAACACATTGTTTCAGTCGTCTTTATGTGTTTCTTGATTTTATATCAGATCATTCACACACACACACACACATACCCACACATCCAATCTTTTATTTTTCCTTATTATTTTTTTTTTGTAATACTTTTTCTTAAATTTAAGACTCAAAGATCTCCCATGAGACTTAATACAGTGTCCGCCAATTGGCACTAGCGAGCATTGAAGACCAACTCTCCCTCACGTCCTTTTCTCCTTATCCCTCCCTCCATTATTTCTTCCTCTTTTTTCCTTCGATCACTGGCCAATCCCCCCCTCCATCACTCGAAAACCTCGCCACGTGCCGATAACGCCCTTATAGGAAAACTCGACAGAGTTTCTCTCCAACGTCTTCCGCGTCAGCACCAACCTAAAAGGGGGCTGGACGGAAATTCGCAATGTGTGGAATTTACTTCTCAACGCGATCGTGACGTTTATTGTCATCTGTGTGTACTTGTCATCATTATAATCATGGAAAAAATATTGTGTAAAAAAAATATCGTTAAGACTAATAGTGACATAAACTACAAATAGAAATGTATTTGTTGATAAAAATGACGATATAATTGTCTTAAATGAATCTAAAATCGATTAAAGAAAAAATAGGGTAAGGATATATATTTTTTTTTTAATAAATTGAACATTAAAGGCCTCAAGTTTATTGAGAATTTATAAGAATAACAAATAAATTAACTGAAATACTTTTTTTTAAATTATTAATCAATAAAAAAAATTTTAATTAGTTTTTTTTTTGTTATTGAGTGATTTTTAAAAAAATTTTTTAATTAGTTGGGAAGAAATTAAATAGCATTAAAATAAATATTTTGTTGGAATGGACATTTTTATTGAATTTACAAACGAATACTTGTCAATTTTGAAGTAGTATTTAGACAAAACCGTGGGTAAAATGTATCATCTAATTGCGGTGACATAGCAGGGTGCTTAATGTCGCAGGGGGGCAATCGAGTACCAACATATATTTATGTTTCGTCCGCTATCCTTTCTCGTGTGCCAGGAAGTGACAGTGCTATTTTTTTACAAGGGTAATAAGGGGAGAAACGTCGCGATGAACTCAGTTGTCAGGATAGCGTTGTCTCGCGTGACAAATTCATCACAAATCCATGAAATAATATGATTCGTTGGGCTGACTAGACAATATTTTAAATTTATAATTTTTTTTATACCAATTCAAGCATTTTAAATAGTTCAAACAGAAAAAAAGAAATTAAAAGAAAAAATTAGAACAGCAGATGATGGTTGAAAAGGAGCATTTGGGATTAGAAACTCCCTCGAAATAAAATTGATCATAGGCGTGATGAGGGATATAAAATAGTTATAGATTTTGAAAAGCATTTTCCAAATACACGGATATAAAATCCTCAAGTTTCCCAAATTTATCCCCAAAAACGAGGGCGTACTCATGAGTCATGTGGGCTCTCGTTCCCCACCTTCTATCTAGACCGCATGTCCATCGAATTCGACGGAGGGTGTCTAGCATTTGAACTCTGTTCTGACAACTTTCGTTTTTCTTTTCTTTGCCCCTCTCGCGTCTTGTCCCTTTTCTTTTTCACCCGATATCAGCAGTGGTAAATACTCGTTAGCTAACCCCCAGCAAGGCGTCGATTTTGTGTCCTACTAAAATCATTATAACATTTCAAATTAATGCCGTCATGTGCATTAGCCGTTGTTCTTTGCCACCCTTCATCTCTCCCTACTCTACTCAGTTCCATCAAATCTTCTCTTGTAAGGTTTCATCAATTTATATAATAGCATCCCGCCACAATAGTAATGAAGAAAAATCTAATTATCAGTCACATTCAATTTTTCTTAAAGTTTCTTTTTTTTTTTAAATTCTGTTCACAGTGGCCCAACAATTAGAGTGGAGGGTCACGTCCAAGTTGGAGGCGCTGTCTTTCAATAATCCAATTATGACATCTACGCTGACACGAGAGAGAATGTTGATACCACCGTCCAGTGAGTTGGATAGTGAGTCATCGAGTGGTGGTGATGAACGAGGTGAGCTGAGGAAACGTATACGTGACGATAATGACACAAGCAGTCCAAAGAAACGGAGAAAGCAAACAACACCTGTACGCTTTCCAGCGTCTCTCATGTCAGCTGGAGAACAAGCCGAGTCTGAAGAAGAGGATGACGATGATGGTGAAGAGTTTGAAAATAGTGTTAATGTGAAAGGTAAAACGTTAGATCGATCAGCGTCTATTAGAGATGAAAATTTAAATTCAGAGTTTCGGTGTGTGTATTGTGGACGTATTTTTGAGGATTCAGAATCTGCATCACAATGTCGCCATACAGATAATGAACTTAGCACAAGCAACCTTGCACAATCGATTGTTCTCACTGCAACATCTCAGGGTCAAGTGCGTGTCAAACTCGAACAAGAGGAGCCTGAGAGTCCAGTAAATCTTTCGAACTTTAATATAAAAAATTTAGCAACTTCTTGGATATCTGGACAAACACAATCACAATTGTCACAAGATTCAGAATGGTCTAATCAAAATCCTGTTACATCAGTTGCTAGTCATCAATCTGGTTTACCTTACCATGTTAGTTTATCTCAATACCTTCCTCTGCCAACATTTCCACTGAGTGACACTGGACAACTTCCTCGAGTTGGTCCAGCACCCATTAGAATTTTTAATCCCGATGCATACTGTGATTTGTGCAACAAAGAGTTCTGCAATAAATACTTCCTCAAAACACACAAGGCTAATAAACATGGGATTTATGTTGATGCACCTTTGGGACAAAGTTCGAATGATAGCAATGGAGCTCAATTCCCTAGTACATTTTTTCCATCACCGAATATCAAACTAGAACAACAAACACAACAACAACCGAAAGTGGAAGTGAGTATGACCATTTCAACTCCAACTTTACTTTGTGACATCTGCCAGAAGAAATTTAAAAATGAAGAAATTCTTAAAAAGCATAAACAAAAGGTTCATGAATGTCTTGACCAAGATTCTCAATCACTACATTCTACAGGAAATGATGAAGATAGAGAAAGTGGACGGTTCAGTCCCAGTACAATGGAAGCTTTGATGAAACAAGACTTTGGCATTGAACAAGAAGATGCAAAATTCATGCCAGCGCCAAGACATCTTTCCCCCCAATCGATTCAGCAAGCAAGAGAGAGTGGTTTTAATGCTGATAAACTTCGTAAACTGGGTGTATTAAATCCAGAAGCTTTTTGTGAAATTTGTTGTAAAGAATATTGTAATAAATATTTCCTCCAAACGCACAAGATGAAAAGACATGGAATATTTACTCAAGACAACGAAAAGTCGCCAAATACTCCTGGAGCTGCTGCTACTTGGCATCAGATTCAAACAAGTCCATTGAATTTAATCATGGCAAATAATCCAGCTGGTTCTGAATCTAATGATAAATCAGAAGAGTTTGAATGTAAACGTTGTGGGATACGATTTCAAACTTTTGGACTCTATCAAACGCACAAGTCAAAATTCCATGAAAATGATGGAGAAAATTCACCTAAGCAAGACATTGAAGAAGAACGTACTGATTCTATTTCTGAGGATTTACAAAAACTTCAGACTATGATTTTACAGTTAAATGGATTAGAATCAAGTAGGACTGTTACTTGTGGTATATGTAGTCGTGAGTGTGAAAATAAATTAGCATTAAAAACCCATATGAGTTTAGAACATGGAACAAGTGTTTTTGAAGATCCACCATCACCTTCTCAATTAACAGAAAATTCACAAACTACAAGAGACTTTACAAATACTTCAACCTTTTGTACGTTGTGTGAGAAAGATTATAAAAACTTTGAAGCTTTAAAACAGCACATTGCTGAAGATCATCAACAAATCTCTCCTACCTCAGGCAATTCCACTGTCATCCATACTCCAAATCCAACACCAGCACCTGGACCACCAATTCCTCCTCCGTCGGATAAAAAAATTACTTCAATTACTCCAACATCAAGTTACTGTGAGATATGTAACAAAGAACTGTGTAATAAATATTTTATGAAAACTCACATGCAACGAATGCATGGAATTGAAATAGAAAATGGTTCTCAAATTGGTGGAGTTGTGTGTAATATTTGCAATAAAGAATTGTGTAGTAAATATTTTTTACGAGTGCACAAACACAACACTCATGGAATTATTGATGAAGGAAGTACGAGTATTAAACCTGAAAGCTATGATGCTCCAAATATCCAAGAAGATACCTCTTTGAAGCCAGATCAACTAGGGGACTTAAGTCATAGATACTTTTCACATTTTACTGAAGTTTGTCCTGTTTGTAGTCGAAGATTTAGAAGCATAAAGTGGCTAAAAGCTCATATGTTAGGAGATCATGGTAAAGTTGGTCATGAAAAATGGCGAGAGTTAGAACAGCAGTATCAAAATTCATCAAAAAGTAGGCCAGCTTCAGCTAATCGTCCAGCACCACCAAACACTAGTCTAAAAATTCCCAACGGCCTAGAAATCACTCAACATCTCAAAGGTGGAGATTATCCAAGTCTAGGAAATCAAGTTTTATCAAGTCTATTTGGAACATCTGAAGAACAATCACCTAAAAATTATCGTTGTTCTTACTGTAATTTTTCAACAACAGTTCTACCATTTTTGTTTCTGCATGAGAGATCTCACACAACTAATCTGGAAAATATCAACTTGGAAAATGGTCTACAGTGTCCCATCTGTTCACAGACATTTTCACAGACGGAACTGCTACATCATCATCTCTTGACACGTCATCAGTTTTCTGGGCTGCATTCGCAGTTTTCATCGGCTGTCATCAACCCTCCTACATTGGATGGGAGCCAAGGGAGTCAGGAAAGGAATGAAATAGAACAGAAGGAACCAGAGGGGAAAGATGAACCCATTCAGGTTAGTCCTCAGGTTCAAGTATCTTTAGAATCGAATAAAAATAAACGTGATGAACCTGCTCCTGTTTTGGTGACTCCACAAACCTCTTACCAATGTGCTCAATGTGGCTTTGCCACTGCTAACTTGAATAGGATAAAGAAACACGTGAAAAAAGATCATAAAACGATGGGTGATCCGACGGAGTATGTGATCGCTGAGCTTACGCGAACCCTGCGTGACGTGGCAAATAAACATAAAGTACCTGCCAGCTATGCGATTCCACAGGACTCAAGTTCCAATCCAGATGCTACAGTGATGCAACCATTTATCATTGAAGAGAGAGATTGTTTTGGTGATGAAAGCCGATTAGAGCGTAAATTTGCTCCTGTTCTAGTGTATCTACCGGTTCGTACGAGAATTAATAATGTCCTCACGGCTTCCTTTACTCTCAGTCCTGCTTAAATCGATTCTCATTTATTCTTGTGTCAATATTAAACAAATTAACTTGCCTATTTTTTTTGATGAAACTTAAATAATAACTATGAACACTCGGTAATGTTTCCTACATTAAAGATAACCAGTGAGCATAAAGAATATTTTTTTAAAATATAGTCAAATTTTTATATACAATTCTCAATTTTTTTGTTAGCTGTATAGTATTAACAACTTGTCTTTCTCTTTTTTGCTTTCCTAATTATGTTGTATGTAAATGGAATAAATTTTTAATGTTAATCACTGCTAAATGTGCTAAAATGTTTGTCAAAGTCAAGGTACTGCGTTTAAAAACATTGTTGTTACAAGTTTATTGTAATTGATACATTTATGTACTAATTACAATGCTACTATATTGTAAATATGATAAGTAATATATATATATATATATAACTATTATTATATTAAGTTACGAAAATAATTATATAGATAATCGTCAAAGTTCCTATTTTAAATGCAGACCATAAGATAAATATGTTTTAGCACTAATTATTCAAATATAAAGAGGAAAAAATCAAAATGTCAAAATATTATAAGAGAAAATAATTAAATTAATTATGGATTAAAGAGAGAAAGACAGTTGAAATTAAATGTTTTCTATCGTGACGCACAAATAATAGGAAAATGCGCTATTGCTTCTTACGTGATTATACTGATTGAATATCATTCGAAAGTGATGAATATTATTTAAATAAAAAAAGGTATAACAAACTCAGGGTGAATGCAGTGCAACCCGAAACAAAAGTACAATCTTATACACAGCCAACGCATTTAAATAGAATTTTTAATATATTAAATATTATAAAAAAAATGAAATGACCGTTTTAAATGTAAAACAAAACTCATATTTTCCAAAGATTTACAAAAGTTCTATTATTAAATAGCTGAGGTATCAGTTTGGAATAAAAATTATTTTTAAGTGTATAAATTACCAAAAAAAAAAATACTTGGAATCTAGTCTGATGAATTTTGCAAAAAAAAAAAAATTATTAAAGTACACTTACCAAAGGAAAAACTGATTATGCACCGTGCCTTGCATCTCTGGGAAACTAGAAAAATCAAAATCGACTAATTTTATTATCTTTAATCACATCAGAATAGACTAGTTAATGATTAACTTTCTCCCATGAAATAATTTAAAATTAAAACAATGATCTAGTCATGATTGATCTTCTTTTATTTTTTTTTTTTTGTTTTTTTTGATAGAAATATTTTTCTTTTATTCATGATATTATAAAGAAAGGGAGAATTTTAAAAATAGCAGAAGAAAAAAAAATTATTTCAAATGATTAGAGGGAAAAAATATTTATCGATGACAAGCGTTGTCAACTTGAGGTCCGCAAAAATAGACAAGTTCTTTGTTTGGACGATCGTTGAGCAAACCTTTCGAACAAGGTTATTGGAAAGTAGACAGCTGTGCTCGCAATGACCACATCGCGTTCGTCTCGTCAGTTATAATATGGTTTGAATGCAGCCGGCTTAGGCTAAACCCAACAAACGGGGCTAAAAAACCGCGTACATTCGTGCGTGAATTGGTCAGTCCTTCAGTGACACCGACTCTCAATAGGTCTGAGCGCACTTTCAATTTATTGAAGTCCGTAATTTTGCCATCTTTTTGTCGATTTCTTTATTTATAACGAATTTCTATTGTCATAAACAATATACAATTGTTTATAAAATTTTTATGAACAATATATCATTCTTTAAAGTCATGTGAAGTCATAAGCAACCATATTGTATTGATATTGGGTTCAGTTTTGAACAATATTAATTACTCAATAAGTAGAATCTATTTCAAATATCTTTTTAACTGAATTTATTTTACAGTCTTTTTGTTCTTAAAAAAAAAATGGCTAGGCTGATTTTACTTATTTATTTTTTAACAAAAAACTGGACATACGTATGTACGATTATACGTACGGACAATTGTACGTATGTACATACGTCTATTTTTGAACCTTCTTATATGCTTTTAAATATCTCAAAACGTAAAGAAATGACAAAACTACGAATTTTAAAAAACAATTGACCTCATTAAAATACTTGTCAGACAAAGACAGGATGAGAAACATCATGATACACTTCCGTCTGGTGTGCATGTCCGTGTATTTCATCTCCCCCACATTTAACTACGCGAAAATATCTGTGATTAGGAATTGAAACAATAGCTTATCAGAAGTGGGTATATAGAATAAATAAATAGTTGAAAGGAATATTCTTTTATTAGTTTTTTTGGACTACTTATCTCGTGATTGGTCACGCTCGGTTAAAACTAGTCACGCGATTGATTTTTTTTCAGCATTACATACTTATTTTTTTTTGCTAGTTCTTTGCCTCTTGTTTGCATAAATTCTAGTCATTTATAATCTTTATAATGGCGATTTGTTGTCGCTAATAACTTCTCCAATAAAGAGAATTATTTTCAATATTTTGTAATAAAAAAAAAATAGAAACTGCACCGTGTGTCCCTCGGGTGAAATGTAACCGGTCCATTGTCTAGAAGCCCATAAAAATAGAGTCCCTCTGAAATTCTTTTTCTCTCCCAATGGTCCGTGATCATCATCATCATCCCCCGTGTACGAAACACGAGCCGAGCGTGAATCATCAGTGCACCCTGGAGTTTCCAAAAATTCGGAATGAATTAGTATGCGCGTGCGCATGTATTAACATATTTCAGGGGAGGAAGTTATCGGCCATTACGAGTCTATTCAATAAAAGTAAGAGTAAAAGAGAGAAAATAAATAAATACTAGTCTGGAGAAAGAAGAAAAAAGATGAGACGAAAAATTTTATTTCAATTGCACGAATAGGGAAAAATGTTATAATGTTTCTAAAAGTATTGTGAGACATAGAAAAATATCTGCATCTGTCCTCCCCCTTTTCTACACATCCACCAAGAGAGATTGGCAAGAGGTCAAACGTCGTGACCTTGGTGACTCTCATGAGGGGGATTTTTATGAAAAATCTCCACCGTTGGACATAAGAAATACAATGACATGCAAAATGCTTGATGCAAATGGCAGCATAACCGTTTTTAATTGCTTCGTCAGGCGAAACGATCGCCGATCTTTTGTCCATGTTTAATGGTCTTCACTTATTATTTAGAAATGTAGGGAACGAGTGTATTTTAATTGTTATACCAATGATATTACGGTATTGATAATAATAAATGCAAGTGACTGTCAATATGATTTTTTCATGCTTTTAGTTATCTTCATCACCATCACCCTCCCTATTTTCAATTCAATTCCCCCATGTAAATCATTGAAAACAAAAAAGGTGAAAATTAAATCGATAAGATTTTTATTGTTGATTAAAATCATGAAAAAATCGTAAAGACAATTTTTATATTGAGACAACATTGACCTGACACTAGCCTTGCCTTTGTAAACATTAATTGAGCGCAAAATCAAATTATACCGATAAATCAGAAACATAAGATAGTGTTAATTGATAATAATCACTGATTATATTTATTAATTATTTGATAATTAAGTCATTAGGTAGATTTTAAGTATTTAATTATAAGGGTGTTATAATCGTTTAATAAAAACGGATTGTTGTCACGCACGAAACTAAAAAGAAAATAAGTTCGAATTTTGTATTATAATTACGTAGATAAGCGGGAGTGCGAAACATGTTATTTGTCGATTATCGCAATAAGTATGAGATAAACGCGATAATGTGTAGATCAACAAGTATAAAAAAAATTCTAGAATTATTCGATTAAATGCATTTATTATGTAAATCTTTGCTAGTCATTTTAACTAAAAAAAAAAAAGGAAATTATTACAAATTGATGATTTATCTTCTAGTCCAACATTATAGTCGAGAATTATTTTTTAGTTTTAATTAATTAATTTATCTATTTATTATTATTTATTTAATTAACAAAAACATAATATTTATAATATTTTTATCATTTAATATTAATTTGTGAATAAATGTAATAACTATAATTTTATTATTGACTTTTGTTTATTTTTTTTTCTTTTCATTTCTCTCGTTCTCTTCTTGTATACAATATTATTTCGTTGCACGCCTAATTGAAGGGCAGGATATACGTTTGTTTTCACATATTGAATTTCAGATATACAGAACAGCAGCAGTCAAAATTTCAGGGTTTAATTTTGGGGGCATATTTCAACAAACAGTTTCGCCCACGTTAGACCCTATAAAGTTAGCCCTAAAGACCTTTCATTTTTAAATGAGTGTCGGAGGGTGGCAGTCCGTATTTTTTGCGGGAAACCAGCAACCCCCTCAATTCTATTCTCACGTACAAACGAGTGTGCAAACAACTTTAAAGTGATGAATTTCGCGCGTGTCTTTCATTTTTTATTAAGTGAGAATTGATCTAGTGTTACGATACAAGGGTCGAGACGAATTGATAATTTCATTCCCCCTTCTTTTTTTTGCTCTTCCTCCTTTCCTGTTAGATAAGATAATTTTCCGAAATGTGTATAGATCTTTTGCTAGTTTAAAAAGAAAAAATATGATCGCGTGTTCACTAAAATAACCAGTGTACCTCTACACCCCCTGAGCTAAGATGGGGGAAAAAGTTATTAATAATTCGCGAGGTAGAAATTCATCACAATCGATTTTGCGCCACTTCTGTATTTCTTTTGCTCGCATTTTCCGTTATGTTGGAAAGAAAAAAGAAGAATAAGGAGGAGGAGGAGGAGGAGGGTATGAAGAAATGAAACGATAAAAATAAAATAAAAAAAATAAGATATATAAACTCGAAAAAAGAGAAAAAGATTGTCGTCGCGACTCTAACGACCAACGGGCAAATGACGACCTCCTTCTTCTTCCTTATACCTTATACCACATACTAACTCTCATCCCTTTTTTCCAACACTCGAGTTTAGTTTGTATCACCCTCTTTTTTCTCACACACACCAACTAGTACATACGCCTACGCGGAAACTACCATCTACCCACATCGTGCGGACCATGTATAAAAATCAATAATATCTTGTGGTTTCTAAGAGCTTGGAAAAACGACCAAGCGTCCCCATAAGTGGTAGAAAAGAGCTCAGTTATTCTTTGTTGTTTCAGAGAACAAA